CTGCCAGCATTGGCCCAACAGCTCTGTCAACCATCGCCTTGAAGGACCGACATACACCCTACACCTCAAAACATCTGAAAAGAGCCCATGAGCAGGACTGTCTTCAACATCCATGAGCTACATTTTAGGATCCCGTAAGTTTCCAAATGAGGACAGATTGATAGTCTACTTTGTTTGGCAGCATCATAAAACACCGCTCCGTGCAGTTGTGAACCCTCAGGGAACATTTCTCCCTGACCTTGGCTGGGCATCAGATCCAGCCCAGAGCTAGGAGGATATGATTTAGCCTTGCCCAGCTAGCTGCTGCACTGTTCGTCTTCTTCTCCATGCCTACCCTTGCTACGCATGGGGCACCTTCCTAAACAGTGAGGTCTGCATTTCCTAAGTTAGATAGGTTAAAGGCTTTAATCACTGGAAAAGATGATCTTTCCCAAGGGAAGGTGAGAGTGTCCTGGAATCAAAACCACAGACTCCTGAGGCACTTCCTCTTTCAAGAGCAAAAAGCCTTTTATGCAAACCTTTGTGAAGGTTTGGAAGGCCTCTCAAGATCAGTTATTGTAATGCCTAGCTGTTATTATGCCTGTCTTGGAGACAGAGAAACAGAGAAAAGTTGGAGGCTGGAGCCAGGCAGCTCCTCTAAGAGCAAGCATTCCCTGTGGGATGAGAGGTCGCCTGGCAAGGCAGCCCTGCTGTATCCCAGCCTCTGCAGGTATGGGACTGGATTTCACACTGGCATGGCACAATGCTCTCCATGTAGCACCATGAGCTAAAATACAAGACCCAGCTGGCTGGCTTGGTCCCTGCTGTCACCAAGGCAGGGCAACCTGGAGGGGACAATTAGCTTTCCCCTGTGGCTGTGGGTCTAACTACGGCACCAGTCAGTCTCATCTCACGGTCTCTCTGCAGACACTGGCTTGTGGCTGTACCCTTTCATCTCACAACAGTCCCTCCAAATCATTTGACCTAATCCCATGCTCAAAGGACTCCAAAACCCAGCTTTGGAGGTCTGTGTACAAAGACTCATCAGTCCCGTGGGGTAGCGGGACTGCTCTGTAACGCAGACAAGCCCTGCATCTTCTGCTGCAGCCACGAAGCACCACTAACAACAAACTTTGGCAACTATCTTGCCATTCCCCTTGCCACATGTCATCCCTGTTGTGCACCAGAGCAAGGCAGGCAAGAAATACAAATCTGGTGATGCATAAAAACATGAAAGTACATAAGATGACTGCATCCATCACCTCCCTCCATCCTGTCCCAGCAGGAGAAAGAGGGATCAGGAGACCAGATCCTGCCTGGGTTTTAACTTCAGCAAGGCTAAGCAGCTAATAATTACTCCAGATGAATGCCCTTGGAGGAGAGCCAGACAATCCCAAATCATTCTCCGATTTCAACTTTCAATTTACCCAGCTAGTGCTAAGCTCATTAATCATACTTGCAGCACCCAACACAACAGAAATTAGTCCCTGATCTTCTCCCCTCTTATTTCATGACATGAGGAGTCGGGGGCAAAAGGAAGAGAAAAGAGATGGAGAGGTGCCACCCACGAATCTAACAGTCACTCAAAGGGACTAGGATTAATAAATCAAAAATCCATTATTAATATTACAAGCTTAAATATCTATCTAAATGCAAATGAATGAACACTTGGGTGTTCTTCCTCTTCCTTTTTTTTTTTTAAGTGCTCTGTTCAGGAACTCTGTCTTGGGGGAAGCACATGGCCACATGATAATTGTCTGTTCTAATTGCAATTTTACAGCTCAACCCTTCACAGCCCATGGATTTTAAGTGGCTTTTACAGGGCTGTGGCATGTTTTGGATGGAATTGAAAGCTCAAGTGGCTGCAGTAACAGGCAGGAGCTCTCATGCGAGGACTGTTTCCAGATTCCTGCCTCTATACCTGTTCAATCACGTTGGCTGCAATGGGTTAAATCCAGAGGCTGGTTCACTGGAACTCCACACAGGCGGAGTTTGGATCCCCAAGACCCACAGCCTCAGATGGATGACTGTGAACATAGGGAAGATTCCCCCTGGCCAACCAGCCTTGGAGCAGGGTCATTGAGAGCCTGCAAAAGAGCAAGCTTAAGCGATAGCAGTGTCCTCTGAGCAAGAAACACCGTGGCAGGAAGGCTTGGGCTGTACAGGGAATATGGCAGGGCGAATAACAGACAAAGGAATGAAGCTGTAAAGCCCTTAAATTGCTCAGAGCTGGGAAATGGGTTTTCCTGAGACTTACCCACTTGCACAACTGTCTTACGAGGCTGATCAGTGGGAAAACCTCCAATTTAAAGAAAGAGGTGGCAGGAAGGAGAAGATGAGAGCGAAGAGAGGAACCCGCATAAATGTGGCTGAACCTCAGGGTTACCTGGCTCTGAGTCACCAGTCGTGATCTCTACCATGTACCAGGCAACAAACAGGTTCAGGCCGTAACCTAAAAATCCTTGCTCCAAACGGGACACAATTATCCAAAACTGTGATGCAAACCCCTTGAGAACTCCAGAGTGCCGTTCAAGTTTGAGGTGAGAAATCAGTCCTGGGGAATAGGGTTTGCATAGTTTGCCTTTCATTAGACTTTCCCAGGAGGTGGCAGTGGTAGCAAATCAGCTTTAAAATGTTGCACAAACAGCTTTGCAGCTCCTGTTGCCAGAGCTCACCGGATTAGACCTAGCTTTGGAACATCCTCCAGCAGAATCTGCTGACATCCACATTTTTTTACTTTTCAACCGCTTGCACATGTTAGTTGAAAACACTTGCAGACGTGCACACACACCCCCCCAACACTCCCCGAAAGCAGAGTCTTAGCGGCAACATTTGTGCAACCAATCTGCTGGTTTTTCGGAAACGATGCTTGACAACTGAACAACAGTGTCGGTGCCAAGAAATTGTCTGCTCAACTCTTAGCTATGAGCCCATCCTTTGATGCTGCGCAATTGCAAGGATTAAAGACTGAAAGCATTCCTAACACCCCATGCTCTCGGATAGACAACAGGCACCCGAGCAAGCTGCCAAACCTTGGGAGCAAGTATATGGAGCAGCCAGACCTCCCAGGACAAGGCAGAGGTGACAACGCTGAACTGGGCACTGTTTTGTCTCCAGATCAGCAATGGCATTCAAGCTTCTCAAGCCACGTTCAGCACTGGGCAACCCTTCATCTTTCTTGTACCAGGCACCTTTCAGTGCCAGCTCCGACAGATAAGTATCCAGCCTGAATGCCACCACTCTCCATCAGATCCAACCATGTGCAAACTTGATTTTACTCTTTTCTTGCACAGACTATGGTTAATTAAATCCAGCTCCAAGCATAGCAGGGAAACATCTCCATCGTTCTGGACATAACCCTCTCTCGAGAACCTAGAAAGCCAAGAAAAACGAGATGGCGTGCAGACCAGAAGGGGCATTGGTTCCAAGTTCTGTCTTTACTTGCCAAAAAATGGATTGGTATACAAGTGCTTTAATCCCATTCCAGCATGGAGAGACAACAGATTTAGCAGAGCAGGCCAGTTCCTATCCAAGCCTCCTCCTGAGTCTGCCCACCTATAAACAACCCTCTACTTTGGGCTAACTCCAGACTCAGTAACATAACAAAATCCCGTTTTAGGAATTACATGAAGGTTCACCTGCATCCTGATGTCTCAGGCCAGCACAGCACACAAGGGGCAGACCTTGCTTCTTCATCCCAATGGTCTTCTAATCCTGGAGCAATTCTCACTACAACCCAGAGGGACCAGTTCTGCCTGGGGCTACAATGTGAGTGTGATTTCACAGGCAAGGAGACCCTCTGGGTTCTTCAGCTTTGCTTTGGATCCACTCATACATGCCAAATTAATCACAGACCAACAAGAATGGTAAGCTGACTGCAAATATGTTGCCCGCCTAAGTGTGTATATGCTACTTAATGGAGCGTAAAAGGAGAAGAATAGAATCATTTCTCAGATGCTGCAGATAATAGTAATAAATAATAATAATAAATGCAGAAGTATGTGCCAAACGCATGAGATCTCAAGGAGAGAAACTGAATGTAAGCGGAAAAGAAGTCCGATTGGTCCTCAAACTGAGATACAGAAGTCAGTGATGTAAAAACGCCACTAAATCAAAACCTTTGTACCCTTGTCAAGCTCACTCAGGATTTAAGGCTGCACTTTCAGTGTGCACTTTTTTTTTTTTAAAGAAACACACTCTCTGACAACTACTTCCCATATGGGATTTATGGTCCTGACTCTTTGTGATAACTTTGGATTTCTTTTTTCCCTGCTGACCACAATCACATCACTCAACACCTCCTGAACATCACCAGTCATTGCAGGAATCCTGGCAGAAATTATTTTACTATATCACAGCAGCACAACACCTACTTCACCACTGCAGGCTGTATTTACAACAGTGGGCTCTGGTTTTGCATTAGTCACCCCATGGTGAACAAATTGAGGTGAGTGCTGAGGAGAGCCAAGCACTGCTATGTCAAGCTCAATTTAGGTTAATTTGCGAATGACTCCACAGTCCGGGGTCTCAGTTCACATATTCCTCATGCGGGACAATCCAACATTGGAAGAGTGAAAATAAGAGGCCGCTTTTTCAAAATGGAAGCTGAGGTCCAAAGCATCAAAGGAAAATGCAAACACTCCTCCCTGTGAGCAGAAGAACACATGAACATCCTTGCTTGGACACTGAGAGATGCTTCCCTGGTACAGATACATGATGCTCCTGGCATGCAGAGCCCTTCACAGGCTATACCGACAACATATAATCTCAGATCTTTGAATATAACACCCAGTTCACCTGGCACTAAAAGGCAACGCGGTAAGAAGGGATGAATCTGTGTGCAGGAAGGAGCACTATCTACCAGGGTGAAAGACTTTGTCAGCCGTGAAGGTGGACATAAGACAAAATTAATTTGAAAGAGCAAGTGGCTGTGACAAACTTACACATTCACTGCTAAATTTGTAATGATTTCACCCCCAAAAGCAAATGGACCTGTGAGAGTAAAGAGGAATCCACAGAACTCACCCATCAGTCTCATCCCACAGGATGCAGGTCTGGTTGGTGGTTCCCTGCCAGGAGAGAAGAAAGGGAAAAATGAAGCAAATCAGTGCTGTGCTGTCCGTGGGGGATTTGGAGCAACTGGAATGAAATATGCAGGTCCTGTGGAACAGCTTCCACTACTCTAAGCGTGGGCAGTCTGTGATACTCAAGATGGGCAGTTGTAGATCTCAGTCCTTGGAATAGCTTCTTTCACCCTTGGCTTGAAAGGCAAGAATAAAATGGGCCTCAATTTGTTCTGCATCAACACCACTGCAGAAGGATTTGACTCTGCCTCTTTCCTGACTCAACCTACTGATGTTCTTCCTTTTTCCTCCTCACACAAAATTCTTTTGCTGCTCCCTTCTGGAAATTGAATCAAATACAGCGTGTGTTTCTGTGGGACACGGTTCTCAGAAGAGCCACAGCCCTGCAGGAGGTGGCCATGTGTGTTTAAAACCCCCTGGAAGAGGTTTACCACAGAAAAGACACAACTGATATAATATTCATGTTGCAGACCCTTGGGAGGTCATCTGAAACCCAGAGCAAGAACAGGACTTGTAAATATCCATCACATAAATCTGCTTAGGGTTGAGCAGGGGGACCTGGAGGGGCTCTTTAAAGCACTGATAGCAGCAGTAACATGCATATCTCCAGTAGTATCTAAGGACTGCAAAGAACATTGCAAGCATTAATGGGCAGTTCTTCTCCCATGATCATGCCCACAATGAAATGGCATGAGCTGGGACAAGTACACCCATGTTGCCTGTGCAAGTAGTGCTGTCAACTTCCTCCTGTATCAGCAGTGCCTGAGTAAGGGGCATAGAGCAGGCAAGGTTTGCAAGGCTGACCCATACCATGCATCCCTGGCAGTGAGCAACAACAGGACACCAACACCAGCCCAATCTCAGAGTGCCTCAGCAGCCTGCGTTGAGGGAGATTGAAGGGTCCTGCATCGGCAAAAAGAGCTCAGGAGCCCAGCAAAACCACCTCCTCCTTTGCACCGACAC